TCTTTCGAAATGGGTCAGTAATCTTTTGCGATACTTATGTTATCTCAATATGGTATAACTGTAACTTCTATAGAAAGTGATAAATTTGAACAAACAAGAGTTCAAACAGGATATGTGACTTTTTACTATTGTAGAATGATATGAAAGAGAAGACAATAGTTAAGAAAGTTTTTTATGATTTTTATTCTAATAGTTGAGATTTCTCTGAATTTCAATTTTCAGATTATTTTATTGAGTCTTTCTTTTGAAAAGTTCAGAAATATGAACTGAAATCTTCAGAAAATAGTAGTAGATAAACGTTTTGGCCTTCTAACGAGCAAAAATGAAAACCGGCTGCAAAGCTATATATGCTACAAGATAGAGCAAGTGACGCTCTACAAAACCTACAAGATTATAATTCACCCAAATTCGGAAGAGATTTTTTATTAGGAGAGAAAGTTTGTCTAGCAGTCAATTTATTGTGGTCTCATTAAAAATACTGCTTAAAAAGCGAAAAGGTTTTGGTTCATATATTGTTGGATAGAGCTGAGCACGGGCTATCAGAATATGTATAGAATGTTTCAATTTGATCTTAAAATAAAAGAGAAAATGTTCTCGGAAAATTCAGAATTTTTCACTTTGACTATGATTTTTTGCGAATATTTGAAAACAGTATTTTGCTTCTTTCAACCTTAATCCATAATCAAACCTTTAACAATTTGTTACCAAAATGATCAGCTTATCGAGCTCTACAAACTCTGAAAATTTGAGCCAATTCTGAGAAAGTCGATGTAAAGGTGGTAGGTTTCCGATGGATTGACCCTTTTCAAGAATAAAGAGCAACTGAAAAATATAGTAAAAGTCAATTCTCTCAAAGAATGTTGTAATATCTTGCAATTTCGATTAGTATAAAAGCATGATAAATAACTTAACTGAATGATTCGTTTTATTATCTAGATTCTAAAAAGAGCCGATAAGTCTACATATCTCGATAATTGTACTTCGGATAACTTAAAATATTCCTTAATTTTTCTTGAGTAACATTAATCAGCAATAATTCATTTTCTAGAGTAATATCTTATCTATAATTAGAATGCTAAACAGAATTTTCAGTAGTATCAAACTTCAAAAGTTGAATTAAATTCAAATATCAAGTTTAAAGTTCTAACTTTGAAGATCCTTCCGGCGCGATATCATCTGATGCAATGATGATTGGCATGATTTTGTGTTAGTCATCATCCGTGAAACTTCTTTCGGAGCACCCTCACCTGCGGCGATTGTGTTTGTATGTAAGATTTTTCAGTCGTGATTCTTCAAAGTGATTTTGATTTGAAAATGGAGAGTTGAAAAGTGAAATTTCAATTGAATTCAAGTGTCAAGTATGACATATATGAGAATTTTTGTCTGCTATTGATAATTATCGTTATTAAGGTCATAAGATATGAGAGGCAGTTTTTATTCCCTCGAATATATATTTGTGTAACTTTCGAATCAGAGATAGTTCAGGAGACGAAGCTATTCATCGTCGTCCTACGCTAATGTTAGTGCGGGTTAGTTTCGTACTCACAACTCACATCCAGTCGAGGGTGTGGTTGTTGTATGTGGGTGTAGATGATCGAAGAAGAATAACCCACACCCACCCAAACCCAAAATTTTTTTTATTTTATTTTTCCTTAAAGTGAATAAGGAGGAAACTTTTGTGTGAAATCAAGTTTACCCGGAGATATTCTTCGTAAAATATGGTAAAATAAATATTTTTATTATTTCAATGGATCATTGTTCAATTTTTTTTTAGAAGTCTTGCTGATATAACAACTGATGGTCGTTTAGACAAACGAGAATTTGCTATCGCTTGTCATTTAATCACATCTCAAGTAAGTAAAAAAATGATTTGTTTTTTTTTTGTTTTGTTTTGTAATTCTCTTTTTTGTTAATTAAGATTCAAAAAAAGGACCATTGCCATCAACTCTTCCACCAACTCTTCTTGCCAATGCATAAACAATAACAACGAATGGCATAGCACCAATGTCTAGTCTACATTAGTTTTATCAACAACCCGTAAGCTGTTTGGTTTTATTTTTTTTCTCTCAGATATAAAAAAAACATTGGAGTGACTTCATATTAAAGAATCATTCAATTATCGGAGTGGTAAGATTAAAACAGACATCATCGCTGCTTTATTAGAATAATGCTTTGTTAACTCATTGATTATTTGTTTTTTATTTAATTTAATCACTAATCATTTTGTTTTTTTAGATCCTGGTTAACCATTCATTTTTAGGTAAGTAAAATATTTGAATAATTTTTGTTTTTTTTTTGTTTTTCTTGATGTTTAGTCGTCTGTTAAAACCAATTGTTATTCCACCATCACCATTAACATCAACAATACGATCAAAATATCTTCAACAGTTTCATTTATTAGTTGATGTAACAAAATATGGATTTATGAATGGTATACAAGCAAAAAATATTCTTCAACAAACTGGATTATCACAAATGTTACTTCATCAAATAGGGTAAATATTTTGTTTTATGGAATATTGTCTAGTTTCTTTGTTCATCTGATTGTAAATACAGTGAAGTGCAAAAAAAAAAAAGAATTGTTGTAAGTCTTAAAACTATCTACATAGGATTAGTGAAAGTTCAGCATGAAATTGATTTACACATACATGTTTATTGAATCAGAGATATATGTAAATTTACATTGAATGACAAAATAACCGAAATGTTATTGAATAAATAGGAGTTCATATTTTAAAAATTTATATGAGAAATATTTTATATAAAATCAATATTTTCTTTCAGTTAGTGATCGATTTTTTACATATAAGCAACAATTAAGATTGACCTGGCGATTGTCCATCATGCTTAACTAATACAACATTGCTGAGATCTACTAAAGAAGAAGCCAGGCTAACAAAATCATTCTGAGTACCGATAGTTTAATTGAAAACTTTCTTTAGCTCCAGCAGCGTATACCATTGTTCCATATTTTAGCTACAGATTTAATCTATCAATAGGAAAGATCAACACTAGAGTCTGATGAAATCAAGATTTTTGGTCATCCCTATATTTTTCTTTTTCTCGAAATCTCTGTTCTGTGTCTTCGTGATACACTAGTTGAAAAGCTAGACAGGGAAAGACTGGAACTGTTGTTCAAATGTCAAGATCTAACTAGAGTATTACCAACTATTGAACGTTGTACGCTTTCATATTATGGTTACGAATAGATTCCTTTGCAACTAAAAAAAATTCGCAAGATCTACTGGTAAATGATGATAATCATTTTATTGAATTTTTTATTTACTGCAAAGTATTTTCGAAAAAAATTAATATTAATACTTTTGACCTGACCTGTTGTCTATAGATAAATCTAATAGTCATTGTAATTCTTTGAAAATTTCAATGAAAATGAACATGTCTTTCTATGTCTCACACAGCAGTGTCACATATCCAAGATTTTGGAGATGCTACCGCGTCTCCCTCGGGAGATGCCGCATCTCGCGCGAGAGATGCGGGTGTGGATGTGGGGGATGCGCATCTCTAAAGGAGATCTTACATCTCCAGTGGTGAATGACCACACCTCTCGAGTGTGGGTGTCGCTTCTCCCGCTGGAGACGCGGCATCTCCCACGGGAGATGTGATGGCATCTCCAAAATCTTGGATATGTGACACTACTCGTCTCACAGCTGGTTTTTTCAAAATTAAATATCTCGAGAAAGACATATTTCTTTTCGTTGAAACTTTCAAGACATTTTAATAACTACTAGATCTATCTATAGAAAAGAATTTAGATTAAAAATATTTATTTCATTCTCTCAGAAATATCTTGCATAACGTGAAAACTTCTTCATTGTCATTATATGAAGTCACACTACCTAAAACTACTAATTATATTAGTCTGTTGCATTTCACTATATTTAAACCATAAAATCGATCCTTTTCAAAGCTTATAAATAGTAGCATAACTTGGTTGACATTCAGTTCTAATGAATATTTCTTTATTTTTTTTTGTTAAGGAATTTAGCTGATCATGATAAAGATGATCGTTTAACTCCGGATGAATTTGTTTTTGCAATGCATTATTGTGATATTGTTCGTGCTGGTTAAACATTACCATATCGTTTACCAGAAGAATGGTCACATGCAAATATAATGCAACATGAATGTACAGGTTCATTATCAAAATCAAATATGAATCAAGCATTTGCTCATATTAATTAAGAACTTAAAGAGATATTTATTGCATTACAAAATCCAACAGACAATCATTCTGATGAAACAACAGAGCTTGAACGAAAATAATAGTTTAGTAGTAACTTATGAAGAAAAACGTTAAAAAAATGATGAAGTTTGTATTTCAACAAATAATTTTCTAAACTTTTTTTTGAATTTATTTTTTTTATAGGATGGATATAAAGAATTACAACAACATCGACAATTATTACGTGAACAAGAAAAACGTGTAGAAAGAGAACGTGAAGAACGAGGTAATTAGTAGAATTAAATAATTGAAGAAAATTTCGAATTTTTCTTTTATAGAATGTAAACGTGAATTAGAATTACAAAAACAAAAACAAAAAGATAATCAAAAACATAAAAAACAAATGGAATTTGAAAGACAATTAAAAAGAGAACGACAAATGGAACAACCTAAAGAAGAAGAACGAAGAAAATTATTTGAACAACGAGAAGTAAATTTAGCAGAATCATTATTTATATCTATCTATTCTTTTCTTTTTAGACAGCAAGAAAAGAAATTGAATATAAAAGTCGTCTTGAATGGGAACGACAACATATGCAAGAATTAACAACACAATAATCTTGTTTACTTGAACAAATAAATGATTTAAAATCTCGTGAAAAGCTCTCGAACTTGAATTACAAAGTATGGATGATACCTATTCAAATAAATATAAATATTCAAACAATTGATCAAACAATAATTGATATACAAAAACATACAATTAATGAAAAAAGTCTTTTTGAAAACATTGAACAACACCGTAAAGATTTAATGATGAAATTACATAATATAAAAATTGAAAAAAAATCATTGAATTCATCATTAAAACATCTTAATCAAATCGAAAGAATTTAGTAAGAATTGTATTAAATTAAAATCTTTTGAATCTTTAAGATAGTTGTGCAATAATTTGATTGAGAAGAGCAAGACTCAACCCACTCGCTTCCAATACTGAATCAGAAAAAAATGAATATTTAAATTTAACAGTAAAGTCAAGTAGATAATATCGACTAACGATCATATGAGTTTAAATTCTCAAACAATTCGATCATCTCTTTCTATAAACAACAGATATGTTTAATAGACAAACCAGATATGAAATCAATACCGATATAGATTTTAGACGGATCGGTTTCATCTATGAGACAAATTCTCATGTTAAACAAAATATTGATTAGTTAAAACCAAAGAGTAAATATTCTAGAAAAAGAATGTTGAATGTTTTACGAACCACAGCGTAGTAGCAGCTCGTTTCAAACTTATCTATATTTGTAGAAGATTATTCCAAGTTTTTTACTAGATAAATTTTTACTAAAATCGAAATTCAGATCGCCTGGTCTCGCTTATGTCTACTAACTTATCTTAGATATGATTCATACGGCTTAGATGTTAAAGTTCGTTGTATCAGAATCGAAATTCGATGAACAGATCAGAGTTACCAATGAGACGGAGGGAGAGGAGGAATGACGAGGGCTTTTCCCTCTCAAAAATCTCGGACTTTCTGCCAAAATTTTAACACTTTCTGCAGGAATTTTTAAAGTCACATAGGAAATCCTGACAGAAAGCGAGTTTTAATAATCTTAGCTCTGTCTTCAGCACAAAGTCATATAAAGATACTTTGTGTCATAAAGTGCTCGCAGAAAGTCGATGATTTTAGCATTCTGTGTTCTATGTATGGCAGAAAGTCGAATAAAGGAACTTTCTGCAAAAATTTCTGGATTTGCTGTAGAATTTATAGCCCCTCTCACTTCTAAAAACAATCGGGAACTCTGGACCACATCATAAAAGAATCGTCAGATTTCGAGATATGATGCTGCTAAATTCAGCTGAATAAGAAATTTGTTTTGCTATGAGATAGTCAAATAATAAGATGTGTTTAATTCATTGAGCTGAAACTGGTCAAGCAACTTTTCATCGTTTGAGTCAGGGTTGATGACCCAGCTTTTTTCATGTGAGTTGAAGTTACTGTACACTTCATTTTAATCTGTTCAGGGAAATAGCGTGCAGCCAATTCCATCAAGAACACTCCGGAGATAGTTGGATCTTGGAATCAAGAGCATGGTGATTGGCTTTCAAGATCCGATTGGAAAGTCAGTGAAACCTAGCATCGAAATCATCGTTGATACTTTCTATCGATCAAAGGAAACTTCTGGAATGCATTTTTAACCTTTTTTTTTCTATATAAAGGTATGGGTAGTCGAGAATCTGAGCAAATGAAATTCTTCCAATTCCAAACACCAATAAAAACTATCCAACAAGAAAATAGACGTATTGATGAACAAATTCTTACATTTACTAATCAATGTAAACAATACCAAAATCAAATGGAACAACTTCGTCTTCAACTCAATCAACTTGAACAAGATGCTAAAAATAAAAAACCATCAAAGTAAATTTAAAAAAATCTATTAAGTCTCCAACTCTAAAATTTATTATTATTCTTTTTTTTTTAGCAAAATTATTACTCCTTCAGCATTTGGCAACTATTTCTTTTCTGTCTAGTCTATGCTCTTATCGTTTTTTTCTTGCTTCATTATATTTATTTCTCAGCTAATTATGATCAATTTTATGCTAATATTTCTTCTAATATTGATGTTGATCCATTTCAAACAGTCGATCCATTTGCTTCTCAATCTGATATAGGTTCACCAACAACACCAAATGATTGGTTTCAATCATCGAACAATGTTCATACAACAAATTATCCATTTGGTTCCAAAATTGAATCTCCAAACACAACAAATACAGCACCAAAAGCTAAATCATCATCAGTTGATCCATGGAGTGGAACAACAACAACAACAATAACTAATAAGAGACGGTCCATGACAGCACCAAGAATCCGAAGCACTCGTCAAAATTTAAATTTTTGATTTTTTATATGCATTCGAAAGGGTAATATCTGAAACTAATAAACCTAAATTTTTAGTGCATTTGGACATTTTATAGTAAAGTTAGTTTGGATCGACTTTTAGCACCGTCTACCTAGTATCAAGAAAAACAATGATGAATTATCTCATAAATGTCTGCTAGTATTACACTACAAGGAATGAGAGATTTGTTTCATGTTATATACCAAATGATAGAGTATGGATAGATGGGGAAAATGAGCTGTTTGAAATATTGTGTATCATTCCTTTACTGGACTAACATGACTGAAAAAGCTAACAGGTTACTAGTCTATGACGTCAGACTTTTGGAGATATATCTGTTGCCATTCATTGAAATCATTAGTGTCCGGGCTGGATTTTTTATATGTTATATAACTTTTGATTCTCAACAAAACGGTAAAAAAATTAGGAAAAAAAAAAGCATAGAATGGATACAAAAAGCGGCATATTCTGGCAAAAGCTAGGTAAATAGCATCGAGGAAAACGACCTTAAGCGTTTTCCAAGGACTTTCACTTATGGAAATCTTCACTTCGCACGAATTAGGATTCTATCCTGAATCAAATGGCATAGACCATTTCTTCAAAAACAGAAAAACATTTTTGACCCCCGCAAATCCCTGAGGGGGCTGCACGGAAATTTCGAAAAAAATATTTTTTGGTGTAATCGAAAGATGATCAATCAGGAAGATAGGAATAAGAATATTGATCGCAATCATATGCTGAAAGTGCATAATTCTCTATGATTTAGTAGTATAGGGTGAACATTCGGAGTCATTTTCTTCCAACAAAACTTCCAATGCTTCAACAGAAAAATGGTCTTCATACTACAAAATCACAGCCAATAATGAAATTCTAGTATATGATTGCGATCAATATTCTTATTCCTATCTTCCTGATTGATCATCTTTCGATTACACCAAAAAATATTTTTTTCGAAATTTCCGTGCAGCCCCCTCAGGGATTTGCGGGGGTCAAAAATGTTTTTCTGTTTTTGAAGAAATGGTCTATGCCATTTGATTCAGGATAGAATCCTAATTCGTGCGAAGTGAAGATTTCCATAAGTGAAAGTCCTTGGAAAACGCTTAAGGTCGTTTTCCTCGATGCTATTTACCTAGCTTTTGCCAGAATATGCCGCTTTTTGTATCCATTCTATGCTTTTTTTTCCTAATTTTTTTACCGTTTTGTTGAGAATCAAAAGTTATATAACATATAAAAAATCCAGCCCGGACACTAATGATTTCAATGAATGGCAACAGATATATCTCCAAAAGTCTGACGTCATAGACTAGTAACCTGTTAGCTTTTTCAGTCATGTTAGTCCAGTAAAGGAATGATACACAATATTTCAAACAGCTCATTTTCCCCATCTATCCATACTCTATCATTTGGTATATAACATGAAACAAATCTCTCATTCCTTGTAGTGTAATACTAGCAGACATTTATGAGATAATTCATCATTGTTTTTCTTGATACTAGGTAGACGGTGCTAAAAGTCGATCCAAACTAACTTTACTATAAAATGTCCAAATGCACTAAAAATTTAGGTTTATTAGTTTCAGATATTACCCTTTCGAATGCATATAAAAAATCAAAAATTTAAATTTTGACGAGTGCTTCGGATTCTTGGTGCTGTCATGGACCCTTTCTTAATAGTAAAAAAAACTCGACGAAGCACGCCGCAGAAATATTTTAATCATTTCTACTAGTGAACAGCAATATATGCTGCAAAATCTTAATAAGATAAACTCTAACTCTTTCCCACTTCTTCCGAATCCAGACATGATACGCTATTTCTCTCCAGAACTAACCATTTCTACTAGAAGAGTCCACTTCCACTAGAAACATCCCTTACGAAGAAAAAATAAAATGATCCATTTCTCTCTAAGCCTTTTAGACTTCTGCTTGTGAATGGAGATATGGATGGAGTGATTCTCTTTGTTATTGTTGTTTTTCTCTCGGAATGATGGGGTCGAATGAAGGTGGTGTGTTTGTGGAAAAGCGTTTCCTTCCGACTTTTTGCGGTTGAAGCATTTCTGCTTGAAGTGGAACAATTTCTCTTTGATAGGGAGATATGATCCAGCCCTCGCTCTGATAGCTTCGGCTGTTTGGTAATCACCTCGCTATACAAAAAAATTATTGTGAAGATTGGAATTCTTCTTTTCACTGGCAAAGTTAACGTCTATTAAATTAGAATGTGGGTTTGGGTGTCGCTGCGAGGCAAGAAAAGAGTCAGCCATACCCGTCACACACTCCACACCCATATACACATCAACACCCAGCCTTGAGGTTCGAAGGGCATGGCAGGGAGACAAGCTTGGATAACAGCTACAGCTGGATTACTTTATTGTTAAGTTAGAATAGATTTATATACATCATGGAAGAAAAAATCACAAAAAATGTGAAAATACAGAACAAAATGAACAATTGAAAACGAAGGACATGCTATCATAACAGACGACATCTAACAAGAAAAGAAAAAAAAATAATGACATCCTGAATACTTAGAAAGCATGATAGAGTATACGTGCGAGATTAAAGAGTGCGAGAGAAAGAGGAAGAGGGAAAGACTCTTATCTGAAACTCTCACAAATATGTACCGTTAAAGTTCGTTTTTGAATACATAACTGCGAAGTAAGGTTAATAGTCAGACCTTTTCGCTGTTTGTTATTTTTTGGCCTTCGGTTCTTTGCCATTGGATTCCTGTTCTTTTTCTTCTTTCCCTTTCGGTTTCTGCTCTTTGCTGTTAGATTCTTGAGATTCTTTACCCTTGGATTCTTGTTTTTTGTCGTTTGATTTTTCTTCTTTCTTCTTTGGTTCTTTTCCTTTGTCTTTCGGTTTTTCTTCATTGCCTTCTTTGCCCTTAGGTTCTTGGGTTTGTTTACCCTTGGATTCTTGTTCTTTTCCTTCTTTGTCCTTAGATTCTTGAGATTTATTGCTCTTGGATTCTTGTTTCTTGTCCTTTTGTTCTTCTCCTTTGCCTTTTTTACCCTCCGATTTTTGCTCTTTGCCCTTAGACTCTTGAGATTCGTTGCCCTTGGATGCTTGCTTTTTGCCCTTCGGTACTTCTTCTTTCTCCTTTGATTCTTCTTCTTGCTCTTGTGGTTCTTCTTCTTGCTCTTGGGGTTCTTCTTCTTGCTCTTGGGGTTCTTCTTCTTGCTCTTGCGGTTCTTCTTCTTGCTCTTGCGCTTCTTCCTCTTTAGGTTCTTCTTCTTTGCCCTTCTTGGTTGAGTCTTGTTTTTTGTTCTTCGTTTCTTTTTCTTCTTCACCGTTCTTGGATTCTTTTTTTTCTTTGCCATCTTTTGATTCTTCCTTCGATGCTGTATGAAAGCCATAGACTATGAGAGCGCCGATGAGAAAGCCTCCGACGACGTACATTTTATCATTGCGGACCTTCTGCGGACCACCTTGAGTGTCCATCATTGGAATGCCAGGCATCGTCTTCATAGCACCGAGGTTCCTATTAATAGTTGTATATTCAGGTGTTTTCGTTGGTGTGGCAGTCGCTGAACGAGAGACACGAATAAGTAGTGGAAGACGACTGAATAGTTTCGAATTTTTCGATAGAAGCGACATTTTGTTGTGAGGTAAGAAAGGCACGTGTGTATCAATACGATAGCTGTATGTTCGCTCACGGTTTTATTTTTTATGAGACTATGGTTATTATCAAAGCAAGAAAAAAAGACGGAAAGAAAAGAAAAAAGAAAAAAAAAATGTGACTATCGTCGACAAGCGTGCATGGAGGAGAATCGAGTACGTATCTCAATGTCAAATAGTAAAATGCCTAAGATGAAAGAAATGATATGAAGCTATCACAAACACCAATCAGAACGCAGATATAAACAACCAAGCACATTCGTTCAATATTCTACCTATAACAATCCAAAAAGGCTAAAACCGATAAACACTGCTTCGAACACCGAAAATAGATAACCTTTAGCAACAATTCCTCATAGAGTGTGAAACTGATATGAAATTCTCCGACTCCGAGCAAAGAATACAAAAAATTTCATATCCGAACAATCAGTTGAAGATTTCCATACAATGAAACCTTAATGCTTTTTGCCTCGGCCTAGAAGACACATACTTCGATGTAGGACTATTTGATCCATCAATTGATCACCTCTTTCTCTCTCTGAAACGATCCATCGAGATGATAGACCTCGAAAATTGCCAAAACGACTCATATACGGCACATATAATTACCTCAACCGATTTCAAAACCCTGCCATTTCTTTCACCATACAACAAACACACATCAATCTACACAGAGATATCAGAGCTCTCGATTAGACTGCGTCTTCTCTTCTGGCAAAATCTTTTCACAAGAAAAAAACTAAAAAATATTAATAATTCTGGCACAACAAGAACACCCACATCCACACCTTACTGTTAGAGATCATCTGTATAGCAATAGTTCGTGGCATCTTATTTGTTTTTGTTGTGCAAACTCTTTTTTTCTGTCTTTTATTTGAAAACTTTTCCAAACTTAGGTTTTTTGCGAACTCAGAAAAATATGTTAGAGAAATTTCTATACATGAGGTCAACATCTTTAGGTCATTTCCTCCAATTTTCAAGAAATTTCTCTATTATATTGCTCTGTAATCTGAAAAAGTTGCTTAATAAGCCCCTCAAATTCGGAGCGAATTGAGCCATCAAAATGTTTAAATCCAGAGGAAACCACGACCAAATTCTATCGAAGTAGGAACGTGGGATGTGCGCATGGGGTGTTGAAAGATGTAGAGTGAGTGAAGACTGACATCTAGAATGTCGATATACTTAATATGCAGGGTCGTCATCAGAAGGGTATCGAGCTAAATCGAATGACATATAGCGTATACATCATTGTTCGTTTCATTTTCAAAAAATCGAAAACCTAGGCGATATGGCGATTTCTTTGTTGTTTTCGTTAATTCAAAGGTCTTTACTTATCAAGTTTTAACTAAAATAAGCACCATATAAATAACTTTTGCTGTCATTGTATATGTCTCAAATCGTTCTCACCTTTAATTTGTTCAATGAGATGTAGAGAAATCATTGTCTATCTTTCTGTGACTGTTATGAAAAGATGACGCGAATATATCATAACCGTATGTCTGAGCTTCTTAGTAACGTGAAACTATAAGCTGTCCTTAATAAACGTTTCAAAAAAATTAAGATTTCATTTGACAAAGACGGTGCTATTGACTAAGAAATTCAATCTTCATCTCATGCCGATTCGTAATAAAATATTACCTTCGAGAAGGAAGAATAAGCTAAGTTTTCGATCATCAAAATTCCTTGAATTTCTTGAAAATTTTCCATGATCTGGGAATGCAGAATTCAATATTGTTCATCTTGACATTTGGTATCCCATAAGATATGCAGAAACTAATCAATACTCTGCTTATTTTTTGGGCAAACTTTTCAACAGACGTTATAATAAAAAGCTGACAAACCTCAAACAATTTTGAAATGCATTGATCGTCTTACCGGTTACGATTCGAAAAATATTACTTGCTGATAACTTTTGTCAGATAATATTATTAAATGGCAGAAAGTATTTGCTCTTTATATGCACATAGTTTGATGGAGCGTCGTGAAAAAAAAATATCACTGCATATTTTTTTTTACAAGAAATAGATTGCTAGCAAAGCATTCAATATGTTGATGTGGACACCAAAAAGTTTGCATCAAAATATATACAACAAATGAGAGCTAAATCCATATCTTCCGATATTCGGTTGGCTACTGTGATCTAGTTAAGCTACAGAAATACATTCTATTATTAGAAAGTTCTGCGTTTATTGCCCATGGATTTAATGTGACTCTTACAACTACTCTTTCTTCACCATAATTTTAGTTTATTATTCTCTAGTCTCATTTTTTAGATTTTCTTCGCTTAATTCCATGACATTCGAACATCTTTCTCAAACTTTCAACATTTCAGAACCACTTTCATATGATAGTTGCAAATCAAATAGTTGTCCTTTATTCTTCAGTCTCATTTCGAGCAATTTTCGAAGATTTTTTTTAGTTTAAATGAAAATTCGATTTCGCTCTTATCACTAACATCATCTGAATTTAACATTTCACAGCACGTTCAAAGCGACATCTCAATTCAGAAACAAAAATAAAATGTATTTGTCTAAAACTACAACCATTTTTTCTGGAATCGACTGATTTCAACTGTCTTCGAACATCTTTTCGAATTCTAATCCTTTTGTTTTTGATCATGATTAGGTTAAATTTCGAATCCATTTAGATTTTCAAGGACATCTACTCTGATGAATTGTCAATGAAGACAATCGCATACAATGTTGTGTTTAGATTTCTTTTTCTTCGTTGCACACATATGTACAACAAGTAGAAAAGAAAAACAGAAAATCTTCATAACTTCACAAACGAAAAAACCTGAAAAGTGACTGACACATTGATCAACATACCTATAGCACAAACACTTTGCATAGTATATTTGTCTTATCGATAGCTCATTCATCGACTAGTGACTGGAGAGTATTTTGGCAACTTCAGGACGGCTCAGCACTGCGTATGAGGTTGAGACAGTATCTTCTGGAAATTAGGAATCATTGTGTCTTTTTTTGAACTAGTCGCTTTCAACAAACTAGGATATCTGGCTCTATAGAGTATTTAGACGTTCGAATTGGTTTGGCAAAGGCTATTAACTGCTAAAAGGACTATTGGTAAGCATTCTATCAAAGAAACAGGACCAAAACGAATGTCATCTAGTTGATTTCTCTCTGTTCAATAACTTAATTGTCACTAACACGTTTTTTTTTCATATTGACCAGGACATCAGTGTAAAATGGATGCATTTCAAAGCAAAATAATGGCACATTGTGAATAATGTGCTAGTTCATCGCAAATTTTAAACTAATATTCAAGATTACACATTTTGGTACTTATACATTTGAAATGTTGTTGTAAAAGAGCAAAAAAAAGATCGGCTTAGATTGCATCATTCTAAACTGTGTGACGATAAATTGCTCAATGCTTTTCAAACATGTTTAACAAATCATCATCAATTTACCCAACAAGAAAATTGTAATTTATCTATGAACGACAAGTTTACAAGATACACTAATTATTCATATGAATATGACAAAAAACACTTTGAAAAAATTCAAATACACACAAAAGTAGTAAAGAATGATTCACAACAGAAATTATCAATATTATGGAGAGAAAAAGCAAGGCTTGCCGAGAATGACAACTTAATTGAGCTACGAGATTAGGAAGAATTAAGATACCTGAATCAGGACTCGCTTTTCAAGTCATATCACATTTCCGCGATAATGTTGTTAAGACAAATTGCTTGAGAATTCAAAACAAAAGACATGTTACTTTTTTGACTAACAGTAAAGACCGTTTAAGTAGGTAGAAAAAAATATTTTTCCGAACTTTTCAATGTGAACACAACAATTAATACAGATATTCTATAACCAATACCAATTCTTCACATTAACAATACAAAACTCTCAGACCAGGATATTAGAACTAATTTACAACAGTTCTCTTCCTATAAATACTTCGTATTCAGCAATATATTTTCTAAAAAGTGATTATATAATTGACGAAAACAGTAGTTGAACTATTTTAGTGATTCGTATATCGTGATCTAACTCTACAACTTGTAGTTTTTCATTTGTTCGCAATTAGCCTCCGTATATGCATAGAATATGACACTTAGTGCGAACTTCTATTCTCTTTAAATAATTAAGATTTTTCAGTGGAACGGATTATTTCTTTATTATTGCTGATGATGAGCATCAGACGATATATTTTATTTTTGAGTACTAAAAAAAATTTTCTAATTTGAAAGATTGATATTCTCAGAATCGTTAAAATTGCTCGTATGTCATTCAAAAAACGTTTGCTGTTCATCTAGCTGCTG